GGTTCTATATCTATGTATATGGATTTATGGAATATACAATGAATGAATGAATGAATGAATGAATGAATGAATGAATGAATGAATGAATGAATGTAATTAAATGTAACTGAAATAGAAATAACTGTAACTACAAATGTAGTTATCCAGAAATATTTGTTACACAGTGTTGGCAACATAAAAATGAATTGCTTGATATTTTTGTTAAAATTAGAGACTGCATGTACAGTTCATTTCATAGTAAGAGACAAGAACTAGCAGATGTCTGTATGTTATAAGTCATGGGTTAATGTTTCCAGATCTTTGGTCCAGTGCAATGTGTCCTAAAGTTCAAGACCCTGGAGGAGGCCATTGAGAGGGCCAATAAGACAAGCTATGGGCTAGCAGCTGGGATTGTTACAAAGGACCTCAACACAGCCCTAGTATTTGCCCAGTCTGTGCAGGCTGGCACTGTGTGGTAAGTCGCTCAAATTTCTGTCTGCATGAGCAGACACATTGCTGACAGAAAATTTTGGACAGGAATCCCATGTTCCTCCCACAACTCCTAACACTGTCACACTGCCTCAGTTCTTTGGTAAGGCAAATAGGGACTTCGGGCTTGATCGAATTATCGGTAATTGGAGAAAGAAGAAATTCTTCTAAACATAATATCCTGTTCTGTAATTCTCAGGACAAGTCACTGAAGGTGAATAAATGGGAATAATGATCATCTGATATGATATGTTTTCTTTTGTATCCTTTTCATATCACATAATTTAACACATTAAACTCTGTCTTGTATTTCAACGTTTTTGCCCAAGAGATATGTTTTATAAACATATATTTTTATGCAGCTGTAAATACTGCTGTGAGATTTTTAATACTTTTTTAACTGATCTCCATTTGCAGTGCATTGGAAACATTGTAACATAAATTACAAGAAGTAGTACAAAGCCCTGCATCAGATTGGAAATTTTCAAACATTGATATTTAAGTTAGAAGAAGGTATGTTTGGAAGTGTTTGACCGCAGCATATTTTAAAGTTGTGTAACTGTTCTAGGGTGAACTGCTACAACATTATAACTCCTCAGACTCCATTTGGAGGCTACAAGGAATCAGGGATTGGTAGAGAAATGTGAGTACTTATTCACACTAAGATATTTCTACAAAGCAAATCATGTGATGATAGTTATGAAGACAAAGGTTTAAGTTGCCTTGAAAATTATGTAAGCAGGACATATTGTAGGGAAGTCTTATGGCTGTGTCACAGGTTTAATTTTTTCAATCTGAATGGAAGCAGATAAAGTTTTTAAAAATTCTTTGTTCCTTGTTTTTAGGGGTGAAGATTCTCTGAAAGAATACCTACAGATAAAAACTGTGACTGTCCAATTGCCATACAAACTGTGAAGGAACATGCTGTGACTGGATGAAAAAAAAAGGCTCACAATTTTAAGATGTTTTGATGTTACTACTGCCATTATTGCTTGATTATATCATTTTGTTTCCCTAAAAATAGTGTTGTACTTTTAGTTCTTTTGTTATTTGTATTAGTTTGGGTTTATACAAACAAGAAGCTGTCTTATGGACAATGTAGCAGGGTTCCTAAATTTTACAGCCCGCTTATCCGAGAATAAAATTGTTGTTTAAATCTTTGCCATTTTTAATGCCACTAGTAGGTAACAGCAAAGTGTAAGAACCTCTGTGTATATTTTAGATGGTTTACTGATTTCTCAGTTTATGGTCAGTTTAGCTGTATTTGGTATTATTAGGTTGTCAGCACATCCCAAAAATATAAACTAAACTTGAAATGAACCTAGTCTAATATAATAGTGGAATATCTTCCATGATGGATGGAACAGTCACATTGCCGTGTTTCCATTAGTAGTCTCATTTGTGGAGACTGGGTGCTCACATGAAGCGAGGTTGGCATCAAGCTAGGAGAGTTTGCTATGACATATCCTAACCACCCCCCTCCCCTCAGATGTATTCCTGTCTTCAAACCATTTAAGATATTGGTGTTTGGTGGTATCAGTTAGGTTTCCTATGGGTATTTACATATTTACTATGGCAGAAGTGGTCATTTTAATTTTACTACATTCAGCTATGCTAGAAGGAGCACAGGGCTGAAACAACTGACTCATTCTGAACAGAACTTGAAGTCCAACAGTGTCAACACAAAAGCTTGTCATTGAACGTGAGCCTGCGTTTGTGCATTGATTTCACGCCTTCCATTTTAACATATTTCTTTCCCTGTCTTGGCCATTGAAGTAGCTACTTTCAATAAGGTAGCTTACCAAAATTCTGTATACATTACTAGTTTCCACCATTGACATATGCCATAACCTCTCTGACTTAACCACCCAAACAGTGCTACAAGATGTAATGGTAAAGATAAGCTTGTTGCTGTAATTAATTAAGAACCATTCCATGTTGAAGTGGAGATGTAGTACCATGCCTCAGAGCTAGATGGAGATGAGTGGTTATCTTCACACACCATCTGCTTTGTACCCAGGGCAAGAGTCCCCGGTGCCCATTAGATAGGCCGGGTGAACCAGTGTCAGTTTGGTTACTGTGCCCCTACTTGGAAACCTATTCACCAGTCATCCAACCTGTACCCTACTCACTATACCGGCTGAGCTATCTTGGTTATTTAGACTAAAAGAGAAATATAATTAATAATACTACTCGCTGAACTTCTTTTACTTCAGACTCATGTCATCAGGGATCAGAGAATGGGATGTGCAGCATGAATGGGGAAAGCAAGAAATGCATACAAAATGTTGGTCACAAAATCTCAAGAGAACAGATTTGTTCGGATAAAAATGAAGTCAACGTGTTTCATTAAGTACCATGCCATGAGGATGTATGGGGGAGTAGAGGCATAGCTTCACATATGCTTAACCTTGGCACTAAATGGATGTGAGTGGTCAGCGTCATGACCGCTTCACTCCTGGGAAGAAGCCCCTGATTCACATTGGGTACAAGATTGGGTGAGCCCCTGAGCTGTTCCGGACATTTTGGAAATGGGAAAAAATAAATTTCCCCTGCTGGAAAAGAGACCTTGATGCCTCCAGTGGCCAGTCTATAGCACTTCCTTAAACCAACTGAGCTGTTAAAATATTGCAGAACCAGGCCATGAGAATATGAACTAGATTGAAATGTAAGTTTTGAGGTTTTCACGGCGATGACTATGAAGAAAGTCGTCTTCTGGGTTTTGGCGCCATGTATTACAGCAACTGCTCTCTGCATTCACAGCCATTCACCTGCTCTGAAGATGGAGGCGATACGTTCCTCCGAAACGTCAGCCAAAACGAAGAATACACGGCGCCAAAACCCAGAAGACACCTTTCTTCATAGATTGAAATGTGTTCGATTTTAGCTTCTCACAGCAGGGACTGTCAGAATCTGTGATGCTTTGTGGTCAGGCATAAGTTTACAGCATTTTGGAGAAACATGCTGTACCATTTTCTGGATTGAACAGTACATCAAGCAAGTATGATGAATCTTCAGCTTCCATAATAACGAAACTTCTTGGCCAGATGAATAACTAGAGCACAATAGATGAAGTACAACACAGCTTGCTAGTTGTCTGATTTACTATGGCAAGATTTTGATCACTTTCACTGGAAGACAGTAATATCTATGTCCGTGATATGTTAATCCAAGCTGCACAAACATAATACAGAGACCAGCACTAGTGTGTATTTCAGAGATCCCTCAATTTTGATTTTCTGCCAGAGAATGGAGTTGGCCTGATAGGCCTCTTGTGTGTTTATCATTCTCCGGTATGGTTATTAACGATGGATGTGGATTGAGATTACGTCAAAGAAAGTCACTTCAGTTTCGGCAACAAGCCGAAAGCCTGTTTATTCCGGAAGTTTGCGCTTAATCTCGGCGATAAATTTGAGTCATGACAACCTTGAACACCTTGAATCAAGCATTTTTCCGATATCCGTTAGTTGTTCAATTCTGGCGCTAGATGTCATGTTGCTCTATTTCAGAGCGATCTTGTCGTTTTGTCGTTCTTGTCGTTGCATGTCCTGTCGCTTTGCTTTCCCAACGAGCAGGGGCACAGACTAATCAGTTCACACGGAACCCTCTCAAGCGGACGATTGAAAGGCAGTGCTGATCGTGGTTAGTGTCGAGGGCACAAGATTTTGTTTGTGACATAATATCATGGCCAACAGAAACCTGCTGATTAAATACACAAAGGTAAGATATTCTGCAACTGGTTATGAAAGATTTTTCGCTGAACGCTGGGGTCGGGTGTGTAACAGTCCTGCTTCGTATTCCGCAGGCCGAAGATCTGTTCTCGGTGCGGGCGCCGGCCATCTCAAGATGTTTCTCGTGGGTTTCAGATTCCCCCATTGAGGCAAATGCCGCTGTAGTACCTGAAATTAGGCCACNTAAATTCTGTAAGTTTCTGAAGACGACTGAAAAGTCGGCACGAAACCGTACTCTTACGGTTTCGTGCCGACTTTTCAGTCGTCTTCAGAAACTTACAGAATTTATTAGTAATGGAAGTCGCAGGCGAATGGGCAGCACCCATGCTTTGTATTTGGAAGGTCCCAAGTTCAAACATTGGCCCGGAAACTGGTTATCCTGAGTGAGGTTGCTTTCCTCGGTATCCAGGCCGATGCCGGACTAAGACATCTCAGATTTGGGCACAACCGCTTCTTTCCGCAATCTTCCCGACGCATTATTCGCCAGTCCCATCATTCGGCGGTAGTCAGAACTACTGAAACCAGAATTAAAATAGACAAGTAAATAAATATAAGAATATTGAAGATTAAAAACAGATTTTAACGTCATGCCAGACCACATTATGAAGGCAAGTAGAAGGGCGTGAAAATAAAAGTTTCGTGCTTTACTGCCGCTAGGCGGAATACTGAATAATTCTGGACACGGTGGTGAAGAGAAATGTCCTTGCCTCCACCGGGAGATCAACCCGGAATACCCACCCCACTGCCAGTTTACATTCTGAGCTTCTATGTATGTTAGATGCCTTCACCCTGTCCTCAATGCTGTACACATGAGGAGGAAGCCGTCACGAATATTCGAACTGCACTCACAGAAATATGCCAATGTAGTGAGAAAATCATATGAGAAAGTGCAGTAAATCATCATCGACATCAAGGTTTGAACGTTTCGATTCGATCGTCTGTTGAACGGGGGAAGTGGCTGTAAAGAAAGAAAATTAGAATCTCTGATTCATTAGCGTCATTTACAAAACTTTAACAGTGAATATAGATAATCGTTAAGGTATGTACAGAATAATAATATTTAGATTTTACTTTGTATGCGATATTTTATAATATAAAAATATTACCCCGTGCCACTGGATACAGATATTGTCCCCCAATATCCGAGTCCTGAGCACCATCAGCATACCTCATTATAAAGTATCAGGCGTATCTCTTGAGAATATCCAGCTTCTAGATGTAGGATATTTGACAGTTGTGATCTTTGTCGCACTTGTGAGATTCTGCCATTCAGCAAACCAGGCAGCCAGTGCTCTATTTGATCAGGTGTTTGCATGTTCACACTGTACCGAAACCGCGTTTGACATCTACGGCCACCATTGTACTTTTCATCATTTATTCTTCTGGTACTCTTCTTTTGTCACAAGTTTACAAGGTTTCCGCAACAAATTCATAGTATTTTGCAAAGAAAGTGTGAGTTTGTTGACCAGTTAACGGCGACCGTTTCACCGTCGGCTGCGGGGCGCATACGAATTTTGCAGATGAATCAATGTGCCTGTTTACCGATAAATTTCGGAATGAAGTAGTTATAATTCACAGATCACAGGAGGTGTTGAAAAGGCTCTCTCTCTACACGTAGACAAACTTCGCATCGGCTAATGAGGTTCTGATTCACCCTTTGAAGCTGTTCTGCAGGAATATTTGCAATTCCCCTGTGAATATTTTCTTTTAGTTCTTCAGTTCAGAGGTTGCTGTTGTAAATTTTGTCCTTCAAAAGAATCTCAAGGATTAGGATCGGATGAATGGTCTGGCCAAATACCAATGCTAACAATTCTGTCCCGTAGGACACCGGACAAAGCCAGCATATATATACGTGAAGTGTGGGCAGTAGCTGAGTCTTGCTGAACCCAGCCATAGAGACTTTTTCTTCTGTTAACTCTGGAAGGAATTGCCCGAGAATGACCTGTACATATCTTTCGCAATTACTTGTTTCGTTAAAAAAAACAGATTCAACAATCCTTGCATTTGTGGCACACCAGACACTAATTTTCGCTGGATGGAACNTCAAAAGAATCTCAAGGATTAGGATCGGATGAACGGGCTGGCCAAATACCAATGCTAACAATTCTGTCCCGTAGGACACCGAACAAAGCCAGCATATACGAGTAATACGTGAAGTGTGGGCAGTAGCTGAGTCTTGCTGAACCCAGTCTTGGAGTCTTTTTCTTTTTTTAACTCTGGAAGGAATTGCCCGAGAATGACCTGTACATATATTTCGCAATTGTTTCGTTAAAAAAAACAGATTCAACAATCCTTGCATTTATGGCACACCAGACACTAATTTTCGCTGGATGGAAGAGGACTTAAAGGGTTAAATGTGGATTCTGTGACTCCAGTAGCGATTATTTTGCGTATTTATGCATCCCTGCAAATTAAACGGTCCACAGATAACTTTCCTTAATTCCAAAAGTTATCGGCCAATAAGCATACTGATTCATCGGCAAAATTCGTATGCGCCTCGTAGCCGGCGGTGCACCGGTCGCCGTGAAGAACAGAGCCGTAAACCGGCCAACAAAGGTAAGAACCTCCCAATATTATAATGTGTATCAGCTTTCGTATTTTCTACCGAGAGCTCCGCGAAAGTACGTGGGATAATTTTAGTAACTAGACGCGTTCACAGCTCTGCGCTTCACCATTATCGGTGCATCGCTGGGTACGAAGCGCATGCGATTTTTGCCGATGACTCAGCACGCTTGACGGCCGATAACGTTTGGAATGAAGGAAAGTAATTAATTTGTAGTATTATGAGTCAAGGTGGTTCATTTATTGGAGTTTATGATTTGTGAGCAGTATGCAGTAGTTACGAGCGCCATGAGCCATTTGTTCCCAGTTAATAGCAGTGTTGCACGGCATAGTTCGCTATACTTAGAGCAGCGCGTATTTCTCTGTGATACCTAAGTACGGATCTGCTGGAAAGTGTCGGCGAGAATTTCAACGTAAATTTCGTGATGAAAAAGTTCTCAGCAGACAAGTAATTCATATTTTGGAGAATAAAATTAGAACAACGGGACTCTTAATAGACAAGAAACAAAACATAAGCCTCAAGTGCTTACGGAGGAGAAGTTAGATGGCATAGAGGCCAGACTTGAAAATACTTCTGGAAAATCACTGAAACGGTTAGCTCAAGAGACTGGAGTGTAAAGTCTAGTGCAAGAACGGCAACACAATTCCTGAAGCTTCCAGTAAAACAACAGTAATTGACGTCTTGTGGCCGCGCGATTCACCAAGCAGTGTTCCGTTTTTACAGTTGGGTTCTACAGTCTGTCGTCGAAGGTGAGATCGATCCGAAATTGACACTATTTTTATGATGAAGCATACTGAAAATAATCGCAACTGGAGTTCACAGGATCCACATCTAACCCTTGAAGCCCCGCTCCATCCAGCGAAAGTTAGTGTCTGGTTTGCTTTAACTGCAAGCGGGATTGTTGGACATGTGTTTCTTTTAACGAAACAATTGAGAAAGATAACGTAGGGGATATTCTCCCGCATATCTTTCCAGAATTAACAGAAGATGACTCTGGCTAGTTTCCGCAAGAGTCAGCGACGGCCCACATTTCACGTATATCTATGCAGGCTTTGTCCGATGTCTTCGAGGACAGAATTATCAGCAGTGATATTTGGCCGCCACGTTCACTTGACCTTAATCCTTGTGATTTTTTCCTTCTGCAGTTGTTTGAAGGACAAAGTTTACAGCAACAGTCCTCGAACGAAAGAAGAACGGAAAGAAAACATTCATAGGGAAATTTCAAATTTTACTGCAGAGCATCTTCAGAAAATAAATCAGAACCTCCTCCGCCGATGCGAGGAATATCTACATGTAGAGGGACAGCATTTTCAACACCACCTGTGATCTGTGAACAAAGGTAATAACTTCCCTTCGTTCCAAATATTTTCGGAATGATGAGTGATTGGTGAAATTTGCATGCGCTTCGTGGCCGGCGGTGCGCCGGTCGCGGTAAAGCGCAGAGCCGTAAACACATCAAGTTCATTAAAACACCCTATACAACTTAAGCGAAACGCTGAAGAATCCAAATCAGCACTGCCAAAACTCAGGTCCTGGCCATATATGATACACAGATTATTAGCAAAAATACCCCATAATTATAAACAGTATTCCCATTGCATACACACAATACGCAAATGAAATGCCTGGGCATCACTTTCACCAGCGATTTTCGACACATTGAGCGCCTCACGAACGTTGGAAACGGATATCGAAACCATTTTATATTTATCTGGAATTCAGCGATCTGGTTGCATGCCTGCTTATCTCATGACTGCATAAAAAGTTTCTTTATCACTTATGCGTCAAGAAAAGCGGAACGAAAAATCACCCCGCGCCTGACTGCATAAAAGTTTCTTTATCACTTATGCGTCAAGAAAAGCGGAACGAAAAATCACCCCGCGCCTGACTGCATAAAAGTTTCTTTATCACTTATGCGTCAAGAAAAGCGGAACGAAAAATCACCCCGCGCCTCACAAGGCTCCTGCGTACAGCCTCGCAAGAACTGAACCCGTTCAGAAATACATATTCCGGAATATGCTTCATCTGTACATTTATCTAGAAGTCTTCCTTCATTAATGCTACCAACAACCGACCATATTATGAAAGGAACAATGTCTCAGTCTCCTTCATCCTTCAGCTCCTTGACTGAAGAAACAGATCACCTCTATTCATATTCGCATACCACACCCAGCAACCCATTCTCTAAAGAAATACACAAAAGCAACAGGTCGTACCTTCGCATTTACGAATGGACTGTTACTTTAAAATTCCTAGTAACGCCAAAATGATGGGAGCAGCTGATCGCTCAACCTAGATACCGAGTGACGACTCAAGACCGCTTTCCGCACCCATGCAACTCGACACGAGAACAACTTACGCAACCTCTGATGCCGTGCTGCGTATGTACCCTCCTGGCAAGGGCAAAAAGTGTCCATGACATTCTGCAGTCTCTCTCCCATCGTCACCGCTACCGTGAACATAAACTTAAAAAAGTAATAATGCATGAAGCAGGCGCTATAAGTCATTTAAAAGAGGCGCCAGCACACACTCCAAATACGGGGAGGCAATGGGTGACGGTAATTCCATTACTGACTGAATGAGTGAGCGCGTGCAGGTATCCACGAATCCCGTGGAAAACATCTGAGTAGTTCTTGGACTCCGTGGAGCACAGTTTGGGAACCTCTAGTCCATAGGCGGATCCTGCGTGACAGCACAGAGGAACCGAGCGGTTTGCCTTGGCCTGCGCCTTTTGTAACTCATACTCGCTTGCTCTTTGTTAAATGAACACGAATTTCTGTTGATGTCTTGCACATTCCATGACCATTAATTGGCAGTAATCCAAACACGCAGTACAATAATGTAAATACATCAGTTTTCTTTTATTATTATGACGAAGTTCTGAGAAATAACCGAAAATCAGAAGTATTTGTTCTTTCGTGGGCTCGGGCGACATTTAGGCTTACGCCGGCCCTGCTGATTGGATTACAGATTGAACACATCTTGCCGTGACCTTGTTTATATCGGGCTCTCAAAGATTTGCACATGCCTCAGAGGGAAGAATTATTGTTTAATTTTCTCTCACTCCTCATTGAATAAAACATGTTTATACTTACGTGATAAAGCTACTTGTAACGACGGTCCTCACTTCTCGTGCAAGTAAAGGCGAAAGTAAAGCTGTCACTCTGCGTAATTAAGCGCCATACTATGAAGTCTTATAGGGGAGTGGACGCAATCCGCTAATTCTTAACCTTGGCGCTAGATGGAGGGGAGTGGTCAGAATCAAGTCCCGCCCTCCCTAATTTATTGGCAAAGCACCAATTAGGTAGGGGCTGGTTTCGCCCGGTTTGGGCACTGGAGAAGAGAAGAGGAGGAACATCTCTTGCTCCAACCGGTGAATAACTTATGAACATTTCATAAACCAGAGTCAGGTCAAAATGTAAGACCCAATCAAACTTGTTAAAATCAGGAGGAAAGACTAACACGGTCACCCTCCACTGGTCCGTGTCTTGAGCCAGATCAGTCCAATCCATACCATCCCATCCTATCTCTCTTAAGATCCATTTTAATATTGTCCACCCACCTAAGTCTTTATCTTCCTAGTGGTCTCCTTCCTTTCAGCTCTCCCACAAATATCCTGTGTGCATTCCTTCTCTCCCCCTTACGTGCTACATGCTCTGTTCATCTCATCCCCCTTGACTTGATCATTCTAATGTTCTATTTTAGCGTCCTGTTGCACTGATTTTCATCCATGATACATATGTAATGGCCGTCTTGTAATGCACTCAATTTCATATGTCACTTCTTACTACATGTTTCGGCAACATAGTGCCATCTTCAGGTTCGTTATTTACGCTAAACTATTACATTGTTTGCCATCTTGTGTCTTTCATAAAATTATTTATAAAGTACATTGAAGAATGCAGTCTTCTGGATTTGCCAAATCCCAGAAGACTGCATTCTTCGTAGTCACCGCCGTGAAAGCCTCAAATCTTATAAAGTACATTATTCGTCAACAATAATAAAATTTGTATATACTAGTATATACTAAAACTTGTTAAGATTATTCTCTATATGTCTGAATTCAAACTCGCATATAGTATGGTTCGTCCACTATGGGAGTCGTTTCTGTGTTTACTGTGTCTGTGATGTGTCCTTCCATTTTGGTTGCGAGCGTTGTAATGTTGGATGTGTGTGTGGACGACATAATAGATCAACTACTGAGCAGATCTTTCACATTTGTCTGATACTGGAGAAAAAATGGGAGTACCATGAGACAGTACATCAGCTATTCATAGACTTCAAGAAAGCCCATGATTCGGTTAGGAGGGAAGTATTGTACGATATTCTGATAGAGTTTGGGATACCAATGAAACTAGTTAGGTTGATTAAAATGTGTTTAAACGAAACGTATAGTAAAGTCCGTGTAGGGAAACATTTGTCTGATAAATTTCCTAACCAGAGTGGTCTAAAACAAGGAGATGCTTTATCGACACTCCTTTTCAACTTTGCTTTAGAATATGCCATTAGGAAGGTCCAGGGAAACCAGGTGGGACTGAAATTAAACGGGACACATCAGGTGTTGGCCTATGCAGATGATGTTAATCTACTGGGTGATAATGTAGATACCATAAAGAAAAACACACAAACTTTAATTGTGCAAGTAAAGAGGTTGGTCTAGAAGTAAACACTGAGAAAACTAAGTATATGTTGCTGTCTCATCGCCAAAATTCAGGGCAAAATCATGATATAAAGATAAGAAACAGATGTTTTGAAAATGTGGCACAATTCAGATATTTCGAAACAACGATAACAGATGGAAACCTGATTCAGGAGGAAATTAAGATGAATTTTGAAATAATAATTCCTGCCTTGCTGAAATCTCAGATCACTGTTATGAAACATGAGTTTATCTAGATAGAGAGAAAGAAAATATTTATCAAACACCCACTTGCTATGCCTCATAAATTTTTGATCAGGTAGTAACTAAAATGATATTTCAAACATAATTTTTACCAATGTTATATTTTAGCGTCCTGTTGCACTGATTTAAGTCCATGATTTATTTAAACCATCTTGCAGTGCATACATTCATTTATCTCCTTCTCTCCCTCGCACTACATGTTTCGGCATAATAATGCCATCTTCAGGTGCTTACTTATCCACGCCAAACTAGTTCATTGCATGCCTTGTGTATGCCTTGTGTATGCGTGTGTGAGAACACACACACACACATACCCAGGAGGCCCAACAGTATAACACACGCAGTCACAGGAGCAAGACACAACAAAAGCACAACACACACAAGATAGTGAAGGAGTGCTCCAACAGAGGAGAATGGGCGTGACTGGCGTAGTGAGGTGCGACGTAGCGATGTGGTATCCTGAACAATTTTAATATTTTTAACGTTTGACAATGTATATGATAGATACATATTTTAGTTATTTTAATATGAGAACAAGGCATGCAATGAACTAGTTTGGCGTGGATAAGTAAGCACCTGAAGATGGCATTATTATGCCGAAACATGTATGCGAGGGAGAGAAGGAGATAAATGAATGTATGCACTGCAAGACGGTTTAAATAAATCATGGACATAATTTTTACCACCCATAAAGAACTGCTGTCCTGTGCAGATTCACATATTTCAAACCCCAGTTTATCTAACCCAGCTTGTCTGTATTAAAGAAATTTCTACCATGACTAATGAGATTCCACATTTTATCACAGTATGGCATGCTGTTCAACATTGCATATGTAGCCTATATGCGTGATCACAGTTATTGGAAAGTTATATTCTGTTGACACTACATCAGACACTGCCTATATTAGCGAGAAGACTCACAGTTGGCTCACATGCCCCTGTCACTGACTACAGAATCCGGACCAGACCCAAACACTTTTGAGTATTTTAGGAATTATAACATTCTCAGTTGAAAGGTTTCATATTATGATTTCTTAATTTCTTATTTGGTCACTGCTCAGTCACTAAGGTGGCCACATGCAAGATGGCTGGGGTTTAGATACTAGTAAGCACCGCCATATCCATATTGCCTCTGGTGTGCACTCAAGTTTCCTGAAACGTACAGGTTCTGAGATCCAGAATGAATGGAATTTCCAGTGTGCTACTGTCTTTGTCATTTCTATAATTAAGTCTACTTGGCCTGTTACTGGTCTTAAAGTTCTTGTAAACAAGTGACTGCATTTCCCATTATTTATGCATAAATGTAGTATTCTTATGACCTGTATGAGTAAAGTCAGCTTCCAGCTTACAAATGAAATAAAAGTATATTTTTGCTATAAAGCTAAACAAACCCATGAATTGACCAGAGCTAATTCATTTCGTCAAGTCTGTTACAAACTTAGCAGATGTTGCAATCACTGCTACTTGTTAGAAGATTGAAAATTCAGAGAGTAGAGGATAATAAATCAAAGCTTTTTGTTTGTTTATTGGCACTGCTGTCATCTGTATAGGTTATGAAGTTGAATGACAGGGTGATTGTGAATGATGAGTAATAGTGGATGTGGTAGGAACTTATTATATTTTGTTTTAAGATACAGGTAGTCCCGTATATGCGAATTCAAAGAATTTGTGTGGGTTTGTGGAGGAAGAATGTGAAGGAGAAGGGAAAATTATGTACAATATATACAGTTCCACTCTCTGTGACATTTTGGAATGAAACTGTTGCATAAATTGAGCAATATGTGTACCATACTGACTAACAAGGGCACCAATGAAAACCATGAAGAACCTTAGCCAGTATGTATAACTGACTGTGCTGCCCAAGTTTTGAACTCTGGACCTATCAAATATGAAGCTGGAGATCTAACCAGTGCACTGTTACATTCAGTCAGAGTCTATTGTAATATTTAAAATTAAGGCAGTGCAATGCCTATTTTTAGCATGTTTTTCTTCCTTAAGCAATAAAGTAGATTTATGAGATCACCTTGCTCTGTATGTGTATGTGCTTACATGCTTATGCACGTGCATGAGAGAGAGACAGAGTGAGAGCACCTGCCTAGCTGTCTGTGTCCCCATCTTGACTTCTGAACCACCTGACCATTTTACATGACATTTTGTATTGACATTAAGTTTTTGAGGCCACTGCAACATGATACTTTTTAATTTCCTTCAGTGAGTAATAAGAACATTTCAGATTGTGAACTTCTGAGATGGGAGCTATACTGGCACCATTTACTGTATGACCAAAAAATAGTGTGTGGTATAGGATTAGGTGTTTAATTGTACTATTGCTGTGTTAAGGGCCAGTGCAGCGATAAATGCCATCTCAAGAAATGAAAAATTCAGCCTTCCCATTTTAAAACAAATCAACTTTCTCAAAACTTTTTCACAGTTAATTACATGAAATCTGTATTTATCTGTATATCTCTGCCATTATCCTTCCTGCCTATCCTGATTTTGCTTCAGGTGATACAGCAAAGGATTTATAACACAACAAAGAGATGTGTTTTATGTAATTCATAAACAATGGCTTCTCTTGCAGTTATTCATTAACAACCAGTTTGTGGACTCTGCTTCTGGAAAGACATTCCCCACTTTGAATCCAGCAAATGAGAAGAAAATAGCTGATATTGCAGAAGCTGACAAGGTAGACTTTGCAAATTTACATTTTCTCTTCATCATTGTGGTCACATACACAGCCAGTAAAAATGAAACAAAACCATTATATCTATGTGCTTTTGGAAAATTCTGAAAAAAGAAACACAGTACACAGAATCTGCTGTAGTATGATAGATTATTCATTGGTTTCCTTGTGATTCATCTTAGTGGAAGCTTAATGCATGGTTCTCGTAATACAGTACAACTCACCTTCAAAATTTATGTAATAATAATAATAATAATAATAATAATAATAATA